AAAAGTTTTAGGGTTAGCGTACGTGTTAGGGTACGGGTTAGTGTTAGTGTACGGGTTAGGATTAGCATACAAGTTAGGCAAAGGCTTCAGTTAAGTTTTAGGGTTAGGGTTAGGTTTAGGGAAGTGGGACAGTTTAGGGTACAGGGTAGGGTAGGCCAACGGTTTAAGATTAGCATACGTGTTAGGGTACTGGTTAGTGTTAGTGTACAGGTTACGTTTAGGGTAAGGCTTCGGGTAAGGTTTAGGGTTAGGGTTAGGTTTATGGTTAGGGAACAGGGACGGTTTAGGGTACAGGTTAGGGTACGACAACAGTTTAGTGTTAGCGTACGTGTTATGGTACGGGTTAGTGTTAGTGTTCGGGTTAGGATTATGGTACAGGTTAGTTTAAGGCTTCGGGTAAGGGTAAGGGTTAGGGTTTGTGTTAGGGTTAGGGTTAGGGTTAGGGTTAGTGTTAGGGTTAGGGCTAGGGAACGGGTACGGTTTAGCGTACAGGTTTGGTTCCAACAACGGTTCAGTGTTAGCGTACGTGTTAGGGTATGGGTTAGTGTTAGTGTCCGGGATAGGATTAGGGTTCAGTTTAGGGTAAGGCTTCGGGTAAGGTTTAGGGTTATGGTTAGGTTTACGGAACGGGTACGGTTTAGGGTACAGTTTAGGGTACGACAACTGTTTAGGGTTAGCGTACGTGTTATTGTACGGCTTAGTGTTAGTGTAAAGGTTAGGATTAGGGTATGGGTTAGGTTAATGCTTCGGGTAAGTGTTAGGTTTAGGGTTAGCGCTAGGGAATGGGTATGGTTTAGGGTACAGGTTAGGGTATGCAACAGTTTAGGGTTAGCGTACATGTTAGGGTACGGGTTAGTGTTAGTGTCTGGGTTAGGATGAGAGTACATGTTTGGGTAAGGCTTCGGGTAAGGGTTAGGGTTAGGGAACGAGTACATTTTAGGGTACACGTTAGTGTACGACAACGAGTTAGGGTTAATGTACGTGTTAGCGTAAGGGTTAGTATTAGTGTATGGGTTAGCATTAGGGTACCGGTTAGGGTAAGAGTTAGTGTAAGGTTAACGTTTAGTGTTAGGGTTAGGGTTAGGATTAGCGTTAGGGTTAGCTTACAGGTACCGTTTAGGGTACAGGTTATGGTACAACCATGAGTTAGGGTTAGGGTACGTTACTGTATGTGTTAGTGTTAATGTACGTGTTAGGGTAAGGGTTAGGTTTAGGGTTATGGTTAGTTTTAGTGAATGGGTTCATTTTAGGTTACAGGTTAGGGCACAATAGCGAATTGTGGTTAGGGTACGTGATAGGGTACGGGTTAGTGTTAGTGTATGGGTTAGGATTAGGATACGTGTTAGGGTAAGGCTTAGGGTAAGTGTTACAGTTTGGGTTAGGGTTAGGGAACGGGTACGGTTTAGGTTACAGGTTAGGGTTCGACAACGGGTTAGGGTTAGGGTACGTGTTAGGGAAAGGTTTAGTGTTAATGTATGGGTTAACTTTAGCATACGGGTTAGTATTAGGTTACGGGTTAGTGTAAGTATTTCAGTAAGGGTTAGGGTTAGGGAACGGGTACAGTTTAGGGTACACAAACAGGTTAGTTTTAGGGTACGTGTTAGGGTATGGGTTAGTGTTATTGTCTGGGCTAGGATTAGCGTAAGGGTTAGGGTAAGGTTTAGGGTAAGGGTTAGGTTTTATGTTAGGGTACGGCTATGGTTTAGGGTACAGGTTAGGGTACGACAAAGGGTTAAGTTTAGGGTTCATATAGGGTCCTAGTTAGTGTTAGTGTATGGGTTAGGATTAGGGTACACTTTAGGGTAAGGCTTAGGGGAAGGTTTAGGGTTTGGGTTAAGTTTAGGATTAGGGTACGGGTACAGTTTAGGGTACAGGTTAGTGTACAACAATGGGTTAGATTTAGGGTACGTGTTAGGGTACGGGTTATTGTTAGTGTACAGTTTAGGATTATTGTATGGGTTTGGTAAGGCTTAGGGTAAGGGTTAGTGTTACAGTTAGGGTTAGGTATAGGTTAGGGATCGGGTACAGTTTATGGTATATTTTAGGGTATGACAACGCTTTAGGGTTAGGGTATGTGTTAGGGTATGGTTTAGTGTTAGCATACAGGTTAGGATTAGGGTACGGTTTAGTGTAAGGCTTAGGGTAAGTGTTAGGGTTAGAGTTAGGGTTATAGTTAGGGAACGGTTTAGCATACATTTTAGGGTACGACAATGGTTTAGGGTTAGGGTACGTGTTAGGGTATGGGTTAGTGTTAATGTATGGTTTAGGATTAGGTTACGGGTTACGGTAAGGCTTAGGGTAAGGGTTAGGGTTAGGGTTACAATTAGGGATCAGGTACGATTTAGGGTACAGGTTAGGGTACGACAAAATGTTAGGGTACATGTTAGGGTCCGGGTTATTGTTAGTGTATGGGTTCGGATTAGGGTACAGTTTAGTGTAAGGCTTAGGGTTAGAGTTAGGGTTATGGTTAGGGATATGGAACGGGTACAGTTTAGGGAACAGATTAGGGTATGAAAACGTGTTAGAGTTAGGGTACTTGTTAGGGTAAGGCTTAGAGTAAGGATTAGGGTTAGGGTTAGGTTTAGGGTTAGGGAAAATATATGGTTTAGGATACAGGTTAGGGTACGACAATGGTTTCGGTTTAGGGTACAGGTTAATGTTAGTGTACAGGTTAGGATTAGGGTACGGGTTAGGGTAAGGCTTAGGGTAAGGTTAAGTGTTAAGGTTAGGGTTAGGATTAGGGTTAGGTTTAGCATACAGGTACGGTTTAGGGTACCAGTTATGGTATGACAACGAGTTAGGGTTAGGGTACCTTTTAGGGTACGGGTTAGTGTTAATGTACAGGTTAGGTTACGGGTTAGAGTAAGGGTTAGTGTTAGGATTACGGTAGGGTTAGGGAACGGGTACGTTTTAGTTTACAGGTTGGGGTACCACAACGGATTGTGGTTAGGATACGGGTTTGGGTATGGTTTTGTGTTAGTGTACGGGTTAGTTTTAGGGTATGGGTTATGGTTAGGCTTAGGGTAAGGGTTAGGTTTAGGGATTGGGAATGGGTACGGTTTAGGGTACAGGTTAGGGTACGACAATGGGTTAGGATTACGGTTCATGTTAGGTTATGGGTTAGTGTTAATGTACGGGTTAGGATAAGGGTACGTGTTAGGCTAAGGCTTAGGGTAAGGGTTAGGGTTAGGGATTGGATTAGGGAACATGTATGGTTTAGGGTACAGTTTAGTGTATGGTAACGGGTTAGGTTTAGGGTACGTGTTAGCATATGGGTTAGTGTTAGTGTACGGGTTAGGATTAGGGAATGGTTTATGGTACAGGATAGGGTTAGGATTAGTGGTACGGTACAGTTTAGGTTTAGGGTACAGTTTAGGGTATGGCTAGAGTTTAGGGTTAGTGTCCGCGTTCGTGTATGGTGTAGTGTTAGGGTATGGGTTAGGATTAGGGTACAGGTTAAAGTATGGTTTAGAGTTAAGTTTAGCATTACGGTACGGGTTAGGTTTAGGGTACATTTTGTGGTATGGTTACAGTTTAAGGTTAGAGTATGGGTTAGTGTACCGGTTAGTGTTAGGGTACGGGTTAGGATTAGGGTATGGGTTAGAGTACAGTTTATGGTTAGGGTTAGGGTACAGGAGAGGGTTAGGGTACAGTTTAGGTTATGGCTATGTGTTAGGGTTAGGGTATGTCTTACTGTATGGGTTAGTGTTAGTGTACGGCTTAGGGTTAGTGTACTTGTTAAGGTAACAGGGTTGGGTTAGGGTTATGGAACAGGTACTGTTTAGGCTACTGGTTAGGGTACGGTTATGGGTAAGGGTTAGAGTACAGGATAGGGTTAGGGTATGGGTTACAGTTAGCGTTTTGGTTAAGCTTAGTGTATGGGTTAGGAATAGGGTTAGTGTTAGGGTACGCTTTAGGGTTAGGGTATTTATTAATCCTCTCCCACTCTCCAGATATCACTTAGCACGTTTCCCTAGGTACCAGGTTGGGGAACGTAGAAATGCTGCCGACCTCTGGCCAATACCTGCAACAGCACCTTTGAAACCTGTGCTAATGGTCACTTCATATGCACAAGTACTGCATGGTTGTAAATGAAACCTGCCCTCAAAATATCTTCATGCAGGTAAAGGCCAAAAACTTTCAAAATGTGGCACATATTTCAAGAAAACAATCTGAAGAAATAAGCTGTAATAGCAGTTTGAAAAATAAAAGGACATGCCTGAAAGCTCAATTTCAAAGGACTATGAGACATATGCAAATCCAACCACAATGAGGTATCAGCTCACACCACTCAGAATTACTATCAGCAAAGAAACTACAAACGATCAGTGCTGAAGAGGTTGTGTAGAAATGCATATCTTCGATTTGAAGTGGGACGTAACCTGGCAAGAGCCAATAATGGGAACAGAATGGAGGTGCCTTTAAAAGGTAAACATTGAGCTACTGTATGATCCAGCAGGCCTACTCCTCAGCCTACAACCTAAGAAGACAGAATTGGAAAGACATAGGCAAGCAAAACTGCACTGCAGCAGAATTACAATAGCCAAGACATGGAAGCAACCAAAAAGTCCATCAAGAGACGAGTGGACTAAGAAGAAATGGTACATGTAAAGATGGAATATTAGCCAAGGAAAAAAATGAAACAATGACATTTGCAGCACCATAGATGAGTCTAGAGGTGATCGTGCAACTGGTAGTGAGAAAGCGAAAGACACATATCCTATGATATGACTTATAGGTGTTTCCTAATTATTGATACCAATGAAGATATTTCCACACAGAAAGGCAATTACAGATTCATTAAACAAACTTATGGTTCACCAAATGGTAAAGTGTGAGGATTGGATACATTATGATATTGGAGTTAACAGAGATATACAAACACATGTGAAATATATAATCACCAAAGACCTACGGAACACCAAGAGAAGACTACTCAACGTGGTGTAGTCTGGTAAAAGGATCTGAAGAAGAATAGATATATATGTACATGTGTGAAAGAACCACATTTTGCATGCCTTGAACAAACAAAACACTGTAATCAAATTTGCTGTGATAAAAAATAAAAATTAAAATTAATTTAAAAATTAAATTAAAAATTAAATTAAAAATACAAACAAGTGGGCTTCCCTGGTGGTGCACGGGTTGAGGGTGTGCCTGCCAATGCAGGGACACGGGTTCATGCCCCGGTCCGAGAGGATCCCACATGCCACGGAGCGGCTGGGCTCGTGAGCCATGGCCGCTGAGCCTGCATGTCTGGAGCCTGTGCTCCGCAACGAGAGAGGCCACAACAGTGAGAGGCCCGCAAATGGCAAAAAAAACAAAAAACAAAAAACAAAAAATACGAACAAGAAGTAATGAGACATAAACTTAAAGGGCATTTCCTTGCACATTCCATTCTAATTTACAACCTAGAACACGACTTTCATTAAGGCTCTGTTGCCCTAGTAACCAGATTTGGTAAAGGAGAAATGCTGCCTCCTTGTGGCCGTTTCCCAAAACAGCAGCTTTAAACCCAGCATTAACGGTCACTGAATATTGAAAATATTTGCAGGACTGTAAAGGACACCGGGCCTCAGACAAAATCCTGGGGTCGTAAATCGACCAGAAAATTCAAAAGACGTCAACATTTCAAAAAGACAATAGCAAGAGGCATATTTTATGCACATTTTGTCTTTTCTTTCTTTTTGTTTAAAAAAAATGCATGGAGAAATGCTCAATATCAGCAACTAATAAAGCCATGCAAATCCAATCCACAAAAACGTTCACCTCAGAGCCGTCAGAATGAACATCAGCAAACTAGTCTACAAAGAATTAATGCTGAAAAGCTTTTAGAGAACTGTGTACCCTCTATCTGCTGGTGGGACGTAAACTGGTAACAGCCAGTAGTGAGAAGAGAATGGCGGTGCGTTTAAAATAAAAAATTGAGCTACCAAATGATCTGATAGCCCAACTGCTGGGCCTATCACCCGAGAACACAAGAGTCAAAAAGACACAGGCTGGGAATCCTGCACTACAGCAATATTTACCATAGCCAAGACTTGGAAGCAACCAAAATGTCCATCAACAGATGAATGCACAAGGAAGAAGTGGTCCAGGTACACAATGGAATATTAGCCATGGAAAGAATAAAACAGTGCCGTTTGTACCACCATAGAAGGACCTAGACATAATCATCCAACTTGAAGTAAGAAAGAAACCGAAAGACA